GTATTTGAGTTTGGTGACACGTTTGCTCATGTTTATTCATTTTCCTCATTATATATGCATAACATGTACTGTGCTTATAAAATGGACCAAATGTGACATTTGCTGGCATTTGTTGTAAAGTGACTCATTTTAGTCCCCCCCCCCCACCCCAAAAAAAGGAAAAGGCGTTCTTTGTAAGTGGAATTACAGGTCACAGCTGAAGTCTCTAGAAAGTTGTTGCATTGTTTCATTGTAAGCAGATTAGGGACCGTGGCAGCTGAATACGTACATTTCAAAATAGTCCGTTCTTCAACTGAAAGTTCGGCAGCTCCGCCTTAGTATCAGGTGATGCGTCACGTCATGAAAATAATTTCTCCTCTCCTGGCCAAATGTCACAAACGTGTCTGCTATGGTCACACTCAGGTCCCGTAATGCATTTTTGTGCAACTTGGGAGCCATTTGAAGAGGCAAGAAACAGTTGGGTGATAGGTTTTGATGAAGCACTACGGAAAGGTGCAGGATATGGCGAATCGTCTCAAGATATCAAAGAGAGTCCACAGACCAGTAAACCACCTGTGTGTCCGTGGGCCATGTTAATCTCGTGACACTTACCAGATTGAATGAAGTATTGAACTTGTCGAGCAACACTTCCCTTGTTCTAAAGAGTATCTCTGTCAAGCAAGTTTTTTTGTGTGTGTGTGGGGGGGAGGGGTAGTCTTTCCCTGCATGTAAATGGATAAAAAGTTTGATGATAGAAATCAATAGATGCAGTTAACATAGAGTCAAAGCAGTTGAGGACAACTCATGGGGTTCCCCAAGGGTCTGTGCTTGGTCCTGCTTATATTATATATCATTGATATCTGCTGGGGCTGTAATTATTTTTTTCTAAATTCTGTTTGATGATAATATAACTTTATATTGTTCTGGGGAAAATCTCCAGCAGCTTTGGACTACTACTGGAAAAATAATTTGATCTGTTTAAGGACTGGTTTGACACAAACAAATTGTGTTTGATTTTGAATGAAATGAATATTAAACACAACGACAAAATCGTCAACTCAATTTAAATTGGGAGAGTAAATGAAATTTGATTTCTTGGTGTTGTAATGAGGCGGCCCAGTAGTCGAATGGTTAGCACGTCGACTTCACAGTGCAGAGGTACCGGGTTCAATTCCAGCTCCGGCCTTCCTGTGTGGAGTTTGCATGTTCTCCCTGTGCTTGCGTGGGTTTTCTCCCGGTCCTCCGGTTTCCTCCCACATTCTGAAAACATGCGTGGCAGGTTAATGGAACACTCTAGATTGTCCTTCAGTGTGAGTGTGAGCACGAATGATTGTTCGTCTCTGTGTGCCCTGCAATTGGCTGGCAACTGGTTCAGGGTGTCCCCCGCCTACTGCCCGAAGACGGCTGGGTTCGGCTCCAGCACCCGCTGCGACCCTAGTAAGGATAAGGCGGTTCGGAAAATGAATGAATGATGAATGAATGGTGCTGTAAAGAATACAAAACTGTGATGAAAAAAATCACATCAAAAATGAGCGTAGGACGAAAAAACTTTCTGTACTTCTTCCTACTCCTTTGGACACATAGACAGTGTTGACCTATGCCATCCATTGATGACCTTTTCCTTTCGTTCTCCCTGTACCTGCGTGGGTTTTCTCCAGGCACTCTGGTTTCCTCCCACATTCCAAAAACAGGTGTGGCAAGTTAATGGAACACTCGAAACTGTCCCTTGTTGTGAACGTTAGCACGGAGGGTTCGTCTATGTGTGCCCTGCGATGGCCTGGCAACCAGTTCAGGGTATACTACGGCTTACTGCCCTAAGACAGCTGGGATAGACTCCATCACCCCCACCCCTCGCAACCCTTATGAGGATAAAGCAGATCAGAAAATGGATGGTTGGATCTTGTAATATGTTCATATGTTCAATCCATCAATCTGTCAATCGACTCCATCTTGATTTTTCACCACTTTCACTGTCCTGCATCATTGTTGTGTTATCAGGCACAAAATCGTTCAACATGATGTCCCCTACTGGTGATAACTCAGAATTGCTGGCAGAAATCAAAGCCGGAAAGAGCCTGAAACCGACGCCTCACAGTAAAGGCTACACCACGGTCTTTTCCAACAGCGGGCCAACAGGCAACAATGTGAGTCCACGTGAACGGCTAAATGTATCATTGGAAGATTACAGTTACTCAATCAATCATGTGGGTGCATCCCATCCAACCCCGATGAAGTCTACTTGTGATTTTTTATTCCCCTAGGGAAACACTGTATCTCCACCAGAGACTCGCCCTTGCAGTCCGCCACCCAAGACGTCGTCCCCGCTTGCGTCCACTACGTCGGTCGCCTCCCCTCCCACAACGCCGAGTCGCACTCCCAGTCCACCTGGCTCGGGAAGCTTCAGGACCATGTCGGCATCGGCGAGCTTCGAGCAGCTGCACTCCAATTCCGTCATCAACGGGAGCAATGTCGCCGCCGCAGCAGGACCGCAGTCGGGGAGAAAGTCAAGCCTGGCCGACGTGGAGGCGCTCGTCCCCACGCACGACGAGCAGGGGAAAGCGATTCCCGAATGGAAGCGGCAGGTGATGGTGCGAAAGCTCCAGGTCAAAGTGCAAGAGGAGGAGGAGCACAAACGCAAGGTAGGCACGGCGGTTGGCCTTCTCGTCATATTTTAGCTCTCCCATTTGTGACGTAAAGAATTTGAAAGCGCAACATTTCACTGACTCGTTATGCATTACAGTACAATAATGGTAACGGAACTCCACAAATGGGATGTAGCTAGATTTAGAAGTGGGTTTTTGTGACCATGATTTTTGTGTTCATGCATGACATGTCACTTGGATCAAGGAACTTTCCTTTCCTTTACTGATCAATAAATCCAATCAGCATTTAGTTTCCGAAACTAATAGAAAATGGGCCAGACAGAAAAGTAAAATCGTTTTAGTTACTAAATTGGACTGATCACTAATTTTTTTATGATCAAAAAGATTTTCAAATAATGAAGCTGTTCATTACAACTGTAATGATACAAACTTAAGATTCGATTTGTATCTCGATTTCTGATCCTGAGTTTGATAGAGGATTAAAAAAATAAATATAAATGTTTAAAAAATATATATATATAGGTGTGTGCACTGCAAACAAGTTGACGTTAGCCACGGCTGCTACATTAGTAACATAAATTTATGGTATATATAATGTGTTAACATAATATAAAAAAAAATTGATGTCCGTTAAAAAAGAAATAGTTGCCAAACTAGAAATGTTGCCAATTGCGCATTTTTTTCCCTGACACACACACACACACACACACACACACACACACACACACGATGGCGTTTTTTTTTTTCAAGGATCACTTCACTAATATACTGTCGTCAGGCTTACACTGTCAGTTTGACAAATGTAAAAAAAAAAAAAAAAAGTGGGTTTTTTTTTCAATTAAACAAACAAACAAACCAAAAAAAAAACATTTTTCAGAGTAGAGTGTCCGCAATTTGTTCCATGCCCCACTAAAATTAATTTCAGCATGGTGTCTTTGAAGGTGCATTCGCATAATCGACGTGACTGGGGGAAGGTTTTCGAAGCGCTTCCAGCAAATTGTCTGCGTCTTGTCCCCGATGTGATTTCAATCTCTGTTCTCAACCGGGTAGCCAAAATTCTCCCATTCTGCAAATCTGAATAAGCGCGGAGGGTCTGCAGTTTGTCCTCTCCTCACATAATTGAACAGAACTAGCATTAACAGTAGCCACGGTTTTGCTCGCCGCGGTCAGGTGACTGACATTTTTTTTTTGTCTTTTTTTGTGCATGAACTGGCTTACACTCTCCTAGTGTGAATGCTCCGAGTGTTTCTTATTTCTTCAGGATAATGCTGCATGTTTTGCATACGTTTCGCTAGTTTTGAGTCTTTGGAGTGGCGTGAAGATTTGGCTCCACGGCCCATTACAGCAACAAAACACTTCTGGACGAATAGATTTCAAAGAGTGATGATGGAGTGTTTTGTGCTTTCAAGTTGATCCGGCACATGCAGATTCAGTGGTGTGATGTCAAGCCCATTCACACTGCAGTTGAAGCAATCGCATTTCACCAAACACTGAACAAACTGAGAGTGCATTTGAAACATCCAACCCCTGTGGATAAATACGTGACCCAACTTTTGATGCATCTCGTTGTTTGCGTAAAAGTGACGTGGCCGGCAACGCTTTTACTACACCTGATTGAGAGGATTTCATCTCCGTTGCACTACCCAACCACCAAGGCAGGGGATTTATTTTATTTTTTCAATATCACGGGCGGGGGTCAGTGTTGCATTAATTCCGGGCTTCAGCGGTGACCATTCTGATGCGTCCGTCAAGTATCCTCAAATCAGCTAAATTCAAAACAGGTGACATATGCAAATGTACATAACAAATGCAGAGGCTGAATTAAAAAAAAATTAATAAAAATAAGAGGCAGTGCCATTGCACCACTAAATCCATGTCAAGCCAGCGTGTCCTCGAGGATGCGCAATGAACTCGGTGCTGAAGAGTCCATTCCCTCCTCTCCATTTTCTTGTCTCTCGGTCTCCTCTGACCTCTGATTTAGTTTGCGGCGAGTGGGCACTACCATCCTCAGGAATGGCACTACTCCCACCTCCACAATGCTCTTTTGGGACCGTTTGGGGAACTGATGACCGAGGGCGATCTCAACCGCATTGAGAAGCAAATTGAGAACCTGCAGGTGATGCACAAGGTCTCGGAAGTTGAGAAGGAGCTGGAAGAACTCGAGCGGGAGCTGCATCAGCTTCTACCCGTTTCGGCAGCGCTCACTCAAGGACATTTTTCAGTCCATCCGAAGCAGGTGCACGGCCAAGCTGAAGATCTTCCAGCCTGGTGCAGCAAAATTTCGACCTTGCTCAAGAGCATGGCAATCCTCCTCGCCACACTGGGGGGCAAAGAGATTGACATTCTGGAACTCGTAAGCCCCGGAGGTTCTCAAAAAGGGACAAAGAATGCGGCTGCAACTCATCCAGATCCGGCTGCGGTATTTATCGGCCGCTCTCAGTCTTTCTCGACGAAAGAAGAGGTCGAGAAGGAGATGAGGCAGTTTGGTGTATCGGTGAGGAACCTCAAGGCGAATTATGAAATTCCGTTGCAGTCTGCAAATGGCAAAGAAACGAGGGTGTACAAACGCCAGAGCTCACTCCCAGTTGTGAGTACGTCTCAGAATCATCCGGAAACGGTTTGTCAGGATGACGCAGGTTCCCCCGTTGACTGGCCTCAGTCCCGCACTAACCGTTCTCTGCCTTCAAAGGAGGAATCGGTCTTGAAACTTGTTGAGGAGCCAGTAATCGGGGCATCTTATGCGACCACCGAGATACAGGCGCAAACTAAGATTGAAGAGTTTAACCAGGTCCTTTCTGCATCTGCAGACCCCTTTTTAAACCAGCACCACCACCAAACAAGAAGTTTGGAGGTGCAGACGGATCTCAGCTACGTTCAGGAATGCATCGAAACAAGAAAAGAGAGGATCGTCTTCCTGTTTCTCGAACACTGGCGCAAATACACCATCTCGGAATCTGTCAGACGAGGGAACCATCTGGACTTGAGCTGGGAAAACAGCGAGGATGACAAGCTCCTCCTTTTCATGAAGTCCAAGCAGGTGGTGGGGAAACTGATCGGCCACTGGAGGACCATCATGAGCCAGGTGCCCAGTCGCCAAATTCGCAGGCTGAGTCGAGCTCAGATGATCTACTGGCCGGAACACTTCTTGCCACACATCAACGGCTCACCCGTGAGCTACGAAAGCCTGACGCTTGATCTTTTCATGCTTGGATACTTCCAGCTGCTGGAAATGAACTTGTCGCGCGACGAGCGCAAATTCCGCCACCTCCTGTGCTACGAGATGTTTGATCGTCTCGGTCGGCATCGCTGGGAGATCATAAAGCAGTTTCACAAGGAGGTCCTGGGGCAAGTCGAAAGAGGAACGAGAGACTGGGCGGATGGTTTTGAGGACGTCAAGCTCAAGTACTTTGGCGACGCGGATGACGAGGGAGGCGTGATGTCGGCCTCTCTGCATTCCGCGTCTCCCGAGGTGGCCTACATTCCCACGGAGGAGTCCCATCCGCCGCCGCCTTGTCATCCTCCGCCCCCTCCGCCTCCAAATGCACGTCCCACTCCGACGTGCGCTCCTCGATTAGATCCGCGCTTTGCGTCGCCCGATGCGGCCCCGGACGGTGCGCTGGACACCGGTCGATGTGCGTCAATTAAAAATCTTGAGAGACTTCAGGAGACGGCGGGAAGCCATGAAGTCGCTGCAGTCGAGGGTGCGGCTGTTAAGACCACCGCAGAACCGGTTCATAAAACTCCAAGTCGAGAAAAACGCGATTCCATTCAAGTGATCTATGAACTCAAGGAGTTTAGTAATGAGGAGATCATTCGGTACATTGATCGAAGCTTCGCCTTCTGGAAGGAAAAGGAAGCGGAGCTTTTTGCCATCTGACACGTCTTGACTAACACATCCACGTTCGAGCAGACGGAAAATGCAGGATCGGTCAAATGAACGTGCACTTTTTAGTCACTTGAGAAAAGAAAGCAATTGGTTGTTTGCTTTAGGCCGCGTCACATGAGGTACTTACAGTAAAAGAGGCACAGGGCGACCTCTCAGCTGTACTGGATGAAAAGAAATTCCATGGTGTCAAAAGTCACAAAAGTTTTGCACGCATTGGGAACGTATTCCATAAAGAAGGGATAAAACAGAAGAAATGGTACACTTGTGAAAAGTTTGATTTGCCATACACGTGCTTGCTTTAGATCAGCGGTCCCCAAACTTTTTTGCCCCCTGAACTGTTTTAATGTCGGACAATATTTTCAGGGACTGGCCTTTAAAGGCCGGATAAATACAACAAAATCTCATATGACCTGCATAAAAACTGTGGTATTTTATAAACGTAATAATAAACACGAATCGTGACACGAGGACACGTCCTATCTGCTTGCTATGTTAACGTTTAGATGTGCCTTCAAAATAAGATACACGGCGAATACAAAGTGCATGAAAAATACGACTCACCATCGCCGCATATTATGCAGGGTGGGCTTGGTGCGTGAGAATATCCCGTGAAGATAAATCCGTATTTTAAATCAGACTCCTGATACTATCTATTAAATGTCGCCTTCTTTTTCTTGGAAGTCGTCGACTCCTCTTCTGTCTCCCCTTTTCCCCTTTCCAAAGAAACTTTGCAAAGACGTTTGGTTTTTTTTCCTCATTTTGCTAGCCCCCGGGTTTCATTTTAGCGGTAACCTATCACGTGACTGAGAAGCGCGCCTTCACCTGCGTCAAGCGTGACATACTGTAGACGGACGTAAAAGACAATCCGGCAAATTTTCAAAATAAAACATCTTTCAGATTCTGAAATGTCTAAAACGAAAGTCATGTAAGTTATTTATTCTTTCTGTGTGGCCCGGTACCAAATGACCCACGGACCGGTACCGGTCTGCGGCCCGGGGGTTGGGGACCCTGCTTTAGATCATAGCTGTCGAACTCTGGTCCTTGAGGGCCACTATTCTGCATGCAAAACGATCAACTCATCAACAAGCTGTGGGAAGCCTGATCATGATCCCGATCGTTTGAATCGGGTTCGTTGGAGGAGGGAGGCATCAGAAACAGGCCAGACAGGGGCCCTCGAGAGCTTCGATGGTCTCTGTAAGGTTGCTTTGTACAACCAAATTCAAGACAGCAAATAGCCTCGCCAGTCTGCAACGCAGGAAAGAAAGGTTTCATCTTAAAAGCGGTTTGGTTGACATAACATTTCCAACTATTGTGAGTGCTCCTGAGGGTTCTCCAGTCACATAAGGCGAAAAGACAATGTCAATCTTTTTTTTTTTTTTTTAACAGATTTTATTTGAAATGTTTGACCGGGAATCATAATTTAGCTCTTGAACATGCAGCGACACTGTTTCATGTACAAAATGTCTGACTTGGCATTAGAAAATCTTTTTGAGAGTCCAAGATCCACCCTGAGATCCATTTTACATTTTAAGACTCATTTTGCATCATTTGTGTGGTTCGAGAGATTTGAACATGTGTTCGTATTTTGCTGTTATAAATAAAGTTGTTTGCATTTTTTTTTTCTGAATATGTTATCTCATGAGCTCTTGTGATCAAGCACGACAGTATAGATTCTCCACTAGCTTCCTAAAATATCGGTCTAGGTCTTTTTTTTTTTTTAATTTAATTTTTTTTTCTTTTTTTACCAAAAAAAGACAGAACTAAATAATGAGTATTTTTAAAAACAGAAAGGGAGAATCAAATGATCTGTTCCAGTTAGGCTTCTAAGGTTAGATGTCAGCAGAGGTGGCTTGTTTTAGGAAGAGACAATTTAGACAAAAGGCAAACAAAAAAAAAACGATCTGTTTATAAAAAAAAACAAAAAAAAACAAAAACAAAAAAAGGGTTGAGGCCATTATTTTAGGAAGGGAGTAGGATTGTCAATGGAATTCGGTCCAATAGAAAGACATGAGATGTTATTGAACTGTTGGCATTGAAGTGTAAAGTCCCAAACTTTTGTCGCTGCGTCTTCCGGCATTGAGATTACCTTCAAATAACCCTCTTAGCAACTCCCGCTGTCGTGCTATTTTTGGCTTGGAAGCCATAAGGAGGTTACAGTGACCCTTGATCAACGGCAACTTCACAAATGGGAAAGCAAACAATATTAGTTATGTTAGCGAAGGTTGAGAACAGGTTGCGAGTTACATTTGACCAAATTTACAAACAGACATGAACTGCATTAGCGAATATCGTATGAAAGAATTCATTCCATGCATTCGAGAATCACTGGAGGGTCACGAGATGCATCGCAGTGAGTCCATCTTGGATAATTGAACACCGTAGAGTTCACATCGAAAAAGATCCAAATAGGAAGCAAATGTGACTCTTGCACTTTGTATAAGGGGGACTTTTGGTCAAGCGTTTTGTTATGATTTTAAGTGAATGAAACATAACATCACAATTAGATCCCATAACGCACTAATTTGGGATCGCTTGCAACTTCAACTGACTCACAGCAGAACACCAAGTAGTCAAATTCCATTGACGACAAAATATTCAACGTTCGATCGCATGAGCTGCAAATTCATCGGCTCTATTTCTTTTTTTTTAATTTGCTTTGCTGTTTTTTTTTTTTCTTAAATTCCCAGGGGAATCATGAAATATTCATGACATAGATAATCTTACCTGGATTCCTTTGCCAAGACAAGTGAAACGCTTAAACAGGAGAAATGCACGGGAGGTAATGTATCTTGTCAGGTCAAAACAGAGAATCCAAGATGGCTGCCCTATTTGCCGTGGCTCCTCACATTACAATTAAAAAAAAAAAAAGGACAATAGGCTCCAGTTACTCAGAGAAAACGTCATGTGTTGACTTAAGAGAAACAGGAGAGGAATACCGAATAATGTCCTCTGTTTGCTGCATGCGGAACATATGCATACACACGCAGCCGCTTTGAGCAGTCTTCCGTCGAGGCTTTTTCAGATGAGAGAGTGCACAGTAGTTGAACACAAGGTTAAACATTGGTATCACCCGTTGATTCTTCTCTCTGCAAAGGTTTACCATCACGTCAGCTTCTTCACACACACGGCAGAGAACTAGTAAGCGTATGTATCCAACCATTAGGGGGGCATCCAAGAAGTAATTGGCTTTGAATTATGCGTGACGGGTTTCTGACTTCAAAATGAAACGCAAATATATTATTATTTATATGGGAGTTTAAAATAAGAAACAAAAATGCAATGCGGCATCACTATTGAAATTTTAAAAGGGCGCATTCAATGAAAGGCACTTTCATTTAAGCAGCGGGGGAGGGGGGTCGCCAATGCGGTGCCCGCGGCCACCGGGGGAGCCCTCAAAGACTACATGAGTAATAATAGCTCCCCGGTGATGAGACACTGTGACTCTCCAGGAATATTGTAGAATCGTCCTCCCGAAAAAGATACCAGAGGGGCGGAGCAAGACAAAGCACGCGTGCAGGCGGACGGCGCCAGGACGTACTCACACGATATTTGTCGTTCTGCTGATCTTGGCAGGCTGACGAGGAAGCGGCACGCCTGGCATCCATGCCCGCCTGGAGGAGAGACATGATGAGGAAGAAAATGGACGAAGAGAGGTGAGTAGCGAAGCTCTGTTGCTGACCAGAATCGTACTCTGGCAACCGATGCTTGAAAATGACCAGCTCTACGTGATTCCGGATAGACGGGCGGACAGAAAGGAATTGGGTGTCCATGTGGCACATACACCACGTTTCAATTCATGCAAATGTTTTTCTCCGATTTTTATGACTCGTCAATGCAAATGGCACTAAGCATAATTTTCAAGTCATCCTCTATCGAGCCATCCATTTTCCGATCCGGTTTATCCTCACACGGGTCACGGGGCACGCTGGAGCCTATCCCAGCTGTCTTCGGGCAGTAGGCAGGGGACACCCTGAACTGGTCGCCAGCCAATCGCAGGTCACACAAAGACGAACAACCGTCACACCTGGGGACAATTTAGAGTGTTCCATTAAGCTGCCACGCATGTTTTTGGAATGTGGGAGGAAACCGGAGTACCGGGAGAAAACCAACACAGGAAGGCCGGAGCCGGAATCGTGCTAACCAGTTGGGCCTCCCCAAGTCATCAACCGTGAATGTTTTTATGCAAGTGATAACAGTCTACTTTTCAAAAAGTAAAAACATATTTTTTGTTGTTATTTATTATTTACTATTATTATTATTATTATTTTTGTTAAAATTCCCCATCCCAAAATTATTCACAGCGAGACACTTTATAGGTTGCCGGTATTAAGAAGCGAAAGTCATCATTTGTTGAGTTTGCAACACCGTGAGGTCATATTTACTGAAATCAAAAGCTATTTCAATCCAAAACATCTTAACAGGTGATGTCAAGTTTTAACAGAGCAACCTAGCAGCTTAGTGAATCTTTTTGGACAGTTTCCACTTGAATTTCTTTCCAAGATGTCTGAAATGATGCTGTCAAAAAAAGAGGACCTGTGTTGACCTTGGATGTTTTTGATTGAATATATATAAATGTCTAAAATGCTGTGCATAGTCATTTGGAATGGTGCTTTTTTTAATTTTATTTTTATTTTTTTTAAGAGCCAGTGTTTCCTCATGGGGGGGTATATATTTGGGTATGTTGGGGAGGAGGGGGGGGGCTCCTCTTTTATGTTGTGAGTTGAAATTGTTTTAACTGTACAGCACTTTGAGTTGCATCTTTTATGGATGAAAAGTGCTATTTAAATAAAGTCTGATTGATTGATATGAACAAAAACTACGTTTTAAATTTTTGAAAAAAATACTGTTGTCACTTGAAGGGTTGTTGAGAAACATTCAAATTTTTCTCTCGCACATTTGCATAATAATTTGGAACACGGTGTCAACCATACTTCAAGACTTCTATCGGTGTTTCTGTACATGAGACAGATTCCATCAATTTGAAACTTTTATTGTGTATGCCACCCGATTATGAAGTCGAAATGTATGCCGGTTGTACTATTTGTAACCCTGTAAATTCTTTTTGATATTTACACCCTTTCCTCTTGTGCTTATGCCCTCCTGGTGTGACAGGGAGCAAAAGAGGTAAGAAAAACACATTTCGATTTCTATACATACACACATGATCATTCACAATAGTGCCTATTGAAATGTATGATGGCTCCCCAGATTGTCCGTGACTGTAAATGCTTTCGCTAACTGCTATTATATAATACGCACGATTAGGAATGCTAACTGTACAGGATAGCATATCTACATCCTAGAGTATATCCATTTAAAAATTCAACTGCACTAGGAAACAATATTCTGTACCTGGGATATTTTTATATCCCCTTATCCACATTGAGAAAGAAATGTGCACGATAGCTCCAAAACGTTTCCTTTTAGCAGCACGTGAATGTTAATACTCAAAATAGATACAATAGGCCAATTTCTCAGGCTAGCGAGCAAATGATACCATGTTGGATCTTAGTCCTGATTCGTAGATCCATATCGGTAAAAATGACATTTCTTAAAAATTTTTACGGCTACTTCGAAAAGGCAGCGGCATTGTGATGACGTCATTTGGCCAGGCAGTCGAAGCAGTGTGATTAAAAAGTTGCATAATTTTTTTTAAAAAAATTTTGATGAGGCGGAATGCAAATGTATTTTACTTAAAAGTTAAAAACAACTGAACCGTACTTGACGAATGAACTGAACTAGTTGAAAATATGTTTGAGTCACTGTAACATTACAGTACTGTACTGTAGATGCAAAATTTTAACATTGAAATCAGGCTTTCATGTACCACTAGAGGGAGCCCGCGTACCACTAGTGAACACATCTCAGACTTTGAAAATGACAGTAGATTAAACAATCCGATTCAGTCGCGTATGCGTTTGTCGCAGTTGTCTTGCGTGTATGTAAATAGTACATAGAATAGTTCATAACGTATTTCCGTGTCCTCTGTTGTTTTAAAAAATAAAATGACAATAATACAAATATTAGAAAGAAATGATGTGTGTTTTTTTTAAAACAAATTCAATCTTTGTCCTCCTGAATCCATTTAGGAAAGCAGAGGAGGAGGCCAAACAGGCCAAAGAGGTAGAGGAGAAGACAGAGTTGGAGCGACTAAGGATCTTGGGTTACGACGAGACCAAGCTCGCCCCCTGGCAACGCCAGATCATCCTGAAGAAAGGGGACATAGCCAAACAGTGACCTGGCCTTCCCTCCTTCACGTCCGCTCATGGGGTCCTTCCCATCATCAACCCACCCGCAACTCCCAAGGCCTTCACTGATTGCTTTTCTCTCCCTGATGTTTGTTTGTGCCCTCAGCTGGGGAGAGCTCCCATTTTTGTCGCGCAACGTCCAGCCACAGAACCGATGCAGGCGAGTCTCCTCAGTCCTGTTGAAAGTCTCATGGAGACAAACTTTCAGCATTAGTATAGCTCCGGCATGCACAGATTGCCCTCACCCGAGACCTTTTCTTTGAACTGTGTGTGCACGTGTGTGTGTGTGTCCTTCATTCAGACCTGTTCGCTTTCCCGCAAATTCAATGTGTTTTGCTTTCTCATACAATCGATGAGTGACAAATAAAGGGGCTATTTGTTAGCATTGTTGCCACGGGAAAGGGGTTACGAGCCGTCTGTTTTGTACAGTCCCCGCACTCGCCATTATGTAACACTACTGACATACTAATCAATGAAACTGCGTCATGAAGACAATTTTGTATAGCGCTCATAGAAGCGCATTCTTTACTTTGCAGACAGAGTTGTCATTCTTCCAAGAAACAAATCTTTCTTCTTCTTTTCAAAACAATCCCCTTTGACCTAAACTTACATTTTACTGGGTGTGAACAATTGAGGAAAATCGAATTTATGTTTATATTATCAGCACTTGTTCATTTTCTATGTCAGCAGTGGAAAAATTAAAGGCTACATTAATTGAAATTCATTTTTTTCTATTTGTGTTAACGCTATGGTGATCATGAATGTTGTGTGCATGTTTGTATTGTGATATCACTAAAACACTGGGGGCTATTTGGAAAAAGTCCAGTTTATTTTTACGGCAAACCGTTTGTCAACATGCGCTGGGTATAATATTAATCAGTCCCTCGATGATTATTATCATCATTTTGTGAATGCGTCTAAAATATAAATAACATTTCCTTTCTGTGGCTCGAAAATGTCACTACAGTAAATGTGAAAGTCTGTTCAATATATTATTGTAGAACGAAGATGACATGTAAGAACATCACGAAGCTATCAATATTAATATGCAGGCGTATAATATATACTCTACATGTGTACAGTAACAGAATTTTAAAAATGTTGGATAGCACATTTGAGAAATTATATAATGTTTACAATAGCTAATCATTTAATGAAGCCTGCAGTGCACATCTCGCGGCATCATCATTTGGAAATAATTACTGACTTTCATCAGCTGCCATATGATGTTGAAATTTAAAATGATTTAATCACCATTTGATTTTTTTTATATATATACATATAAACCCTGTACATAGTCACCCCCTCTGATCATGATAAGGTCAGTGTTTGCATACTGGATCTCAGCCTTGATTGGGTAGAATGTTGGCTAATACATGCAAGCATGATTATGTTTTCAGATTGTTAAAAATAAAAGGAAATACAAAAACGGCTCAGGCTTTGCTTTTGTTGACTCAAAGGACAGGAAATGGGTGAATAGTTGAGCTGTTTTTAAATGGAATTTATAAGGCAAAAAAAAGGTATTGCTGAAACCTCCTAAGGAAAAGCATATGTTGTAATTATATATTCATTGACATTTCTCAAGTTAACATCACGTGTGACTCAAATGCAGTTCAGTGGTGTACATTTAGTGTGGTTGATATTGTTTTCCCCAGCTAAACATTCAACGTCAAAAATTCTAACGCAAACCACACGCTTTAGATAGATAGATAGATAGATAGATAGATAGATAGATAGATAGATAGATAGATAGATAGAGGTCACCTTCAAGTAGAATGCAATGATGATGGTTTGAGTGCGTTTTCATTGTGTCGTAGTAAAAACTAATGGCCACTAGAGTGCGCTCACAGCCTTTTTGAAGTTGCAAACCCAACGAATAAACTTGAGGATCAGTGAAAGTAAACAAAACAGAGTAAAATGACCGAGTTATACATTTCCAAAACGATTAAATGTTCTCTATATATACGTGTATAGACTACTTTATATATAAACATAAATACATCCAAATGAAGTGAAACGTTTATTTTAAAAAGAGTGAAAACGGTTTGAAAAAAAATGGTCGATGTGCACTTTTCTGTGACTAGCTGGCGCTCACCTGTGCCGGTGACGTCACCACGGAGACACCAAAGCAGGAAGTGGCCCTTTGAGCACAAATATGTGACACGATTGCATCGACCAAGCAGCAGACGCAATTGAAGTCTTACGCTTTCTCTCTCTTTTTTTTTTGCCGATAGTTGGGAATTTTTCGAAGTTCAGCACTCTCAGGTAAGGCAGCTGTGACGTGTTGCAGCCTCGCTTGCTTGCTCTGTTGCGTGTCACCTTGCCATAAAAACAACCATGGGAATGTGGGACCGACATTTTTTTTTCTCCCACCCTGAAGCGTCTCTTACGGATTGAAACTGCAACTGTGTGGAGACAATGGACAAGCTCGTAGTAGAAATCATCGTGTCGGAGGATTAAATATGTAAACCCATGCACGTTTTGCTTATGGCATGAACGGGTTCAAATGCTTGAATAGTTTTGCAATGGCAATGTACTAGGCAAGCGTTAAATGTTAGCGTTACACTTTAAGCGGGCCTTTGAAGTTCTAGCATTGCAAAAAATAACTATAGTTCATGTGAAATAAAAAAAATCAATTGTATGTACAGGATGGCCAAAAATGTACTGTACTCACTCTGATAGGCGTTGTAGTCCTTGTTTTTCACCATTTGTCTTTTCTTATATGTCATCAAAATACAGTATCTTTAATGCAACATTACTCTCTGTAATTCAATTGATTAGACTTGTGACTATGTCAATAAACACGTAATTTAAGAAGAAATTCATGAATATTTAAGGGTGAGTTCCTCTTTGGCAGGGGAGACACACTCTATCATGACTCTGTATAATTTCCCTTTACTAATTCGTTTATCCTCACGAGGGTCTCGGGCATGTTGGAGCTTATCCCAGCTGTCTTCGGGCCGTAGGCGGGGTACACCCTGAACCGGTTGCCAGCCAATCACAGGGCACACATATAGACAAACAAGCATCCGCGCTCACAATCACACCAAGGGACAATTTTGAGTGTTTTGTTAACATGCCATGCATGTTTTTGGAATGTGGGGGGGAAACCGGAGGACCCGGAGAAAATCCACGCAGGCACAGGGAGAACATGCAAACTCGCACAGGAAGGCCGCAGCCCGGAGCCCGAATCAAACCCACCAACCACCTCTTTGCGATGGGGCGAACATGCTAACCAGTTGATCACCGAGCCGCCCACTCTAGATAAAAATCTGTTGATTATTTTCTCAATTAGTCATTTCTATCCCTCTACAGGTATTCAAAAACAGTACATTGTTTCAAATTGACAGCGCAGAAAATTTACATAGATTAAGATTCCGTTTCTGATTGGTGCGTAATGTGAGAAGAGAGGCAAAAATGTTGATCACTGTCTTCTAAAGTAAAAGCGAATGTTTGCAACTGTTGTGTTTTGATTCAACACAAATCTACTTCCGTGAAGGACTACAGAAGTCGGAGAATATTTACTGTTGTGAGTCTGACAATTTATTGGTTTGGACAACCTTTTAAAGTATCAAAGGTAGGACGTGTTGTTTTTAGTGGATTTACTGGAGCATCTCTGCTTGCGTGTGGCAGTGCCTTGATGTTAGTTCAAGAACTGACTCAAAGTGTTATTTTATGTGTTCTCAGTGGGAGGCTCTAAAAGGCCCACTATGGGTCACTCGTGGCCGTTTGAGGGCCTTGCACTCTTAGGATTCTGATGTGATCCCTCCTGTTCATTTCCAATGAAACCGGTAATGCTAACGTCTGTTTGTGGGGATCCGTAAACACGCTCTTATTTTTTTCTACTCTTCCACAGAGCCCTCAAATGTTGTAGCTGCTGAGGGGGGTCAGTGGACTGGGTCAAGGTGACCGAGGCAGGACGCCATGTCTCGCACCCAGTCAGAGGGCCGTGCGGGTGACCGGTCCCCTCTAATTCTGGAGAGCCGCTTTTCCACAGAGCTGCATATATCTGAACCCGGCGATGAATGCTACCAGTCACAAAGCTCCCCGACCGTCCAGGCGGAGGCACGCACGGTCCAAGAGGATGGAGTTGACAGGCTGGTGGTGCCGCAGCAACTGATTTTGAGCACCCAAAGTGCAGCGGCGCTGAAGCTCGGCACCCAGCAGATCATCCCCAAGAATCTAGCCGTGGCCAGCCGGCCCAAAAACCGCCACCACACCACGGTGGTGACCTTCCCCGTGGGACTGGAGAATTCCAGTCATGGATCCCGCATCCGACACTCAGCTCAGGGGCCTGATGTGAGCTGGGAGGACTATGACAGCGATGGAGACGGCTTCGCCTTGAGGAGGAACCGCAGGAACAAGTCCTACAGAGCAGCGGTGACCAGTTTGGACATTGAGGCCATGGCGAGGGGAAAAGGGGCTGTCGATGCACTAAAACCCGTAAAAGAAGGCAGAGGGTCCAGTCCAGGTTCAGCTCGCAGCCCCGTGAGGAAGGTAGAGGTTGCTTTAGCCCAAGGGGGTCAAACCAATTTTCGTCGCGGGCCACATTTTAGTTACCGTTTCCCTTGGAGGGCCATTATGACTGAAATCATCTAAAGAAGTCAAGAATAACAGTTGATTCAACTATTGTTTATGTTCGCAAGAATAACAGTTGATTCAACTATTGTTTATGTTAGTGTTATGAGGTATTTGGCAACAAGAAAATGCTTACAATGTCTCTCTTATTTATGACATATGAGAGTTTTGAATTTTGGTAAATATTTCAGCAAGCATCATGGAAGTTGCCATGTTTGATTTGCTTTCGCGGGCCACATAAAATGATGTGGCGGGCCAGATCTGGCCCGCGGGCCGTGACTTTGATACGTGTGCTGTCGCCCGTTTTCTTTTGGCTAAATGGAAGCTGACAAGGCACAAGTCATATTGTAGCAGAAATTGCTAATCGCCACCACTAATTTTTTTAAGTTAAGTAGTAACAAGGCACAAGTCATATTGTAGCAGAAATTGCTAATTGCCACCACTAAACTTTGTTAAGTTAAGTAGTGGCAATAGTCAATAAGAACCACAAAAGCGGTCTTCACAAAACTGTGTGGCTCGTTGGCTCAAAGGCGGCCGAGCAAGAATGCGTTTGCTTTTGGTGAGGATCTGCATAAAGGTGCAAACACTGTCATTGATTAATTTGAATAACTACGATTAAGTGCACACAACAGCCACTCTCCAACCCCGGTACGGAATTTATGACTTTCATGATCGTGACGACTACGGGTCGTCTAAAAAGTGAGCGCATGCGATCCCCTACGAAGATGGATATTTTTCATTTCGCGTCGCCAAACACAAATACTCCACAACCACGGCGACCACTTCACCGAACGTCGGCGTACATGATGTTTAACAGAAGCTAACTCTGTCGGCAGACAACGAAACACAACAACACAGCTCGGCTTACCTTTTGGATGTGTCGTAATGTCTCAGACGGTGTAAGCTGCAGCCTAGCTTCCTAGTCATGAGCGGAGAAACTCGTTGTGGGTTTTCGTATTAGTTGTCTGGCATCGGAATTTGGTGAAATTCCAAACGGCTCGATCGCGGACACATTTTGGACAATAGGTAGCTGGCAAAAGGTTGACTTGTTTGTTGAATCGTTTAATTGTACACTATTGTCATCTCTCACCCTTGTTATGACACAATTCCACCAAGCAGTATGAAAATCCCCTGTTGTGGCTTGTATCGACGACGACGTAAATGCCAGGGGGACGCCCACCAAACAATTTATTCCAACAACACAATCTGATTCAGAATAGATGTTATTTCAAAGAAATGTTTTGACTGGTGATGATTCCCTCTCGACCGTTTCACAAACGACGGAGCTGCGACAACACTTTTTGCACAATAGCGACTGGGGCCGCAACAATAGGGAACCAAAAAGTGTTTTTTATATTACCCATCAGTTATTCTGGTACCCAAATGGAGACGCTTGAACTTTACGGTACTGTTTGGCGGAAACTGGGATTTAGCCTCGGTCATGCTCTCTGTTAGTCATGGAGATGATGCGCAATCTTCCGCATGAGGGCCTCTTTTGAGGAAGTCCTCATTTAGCGTCTACTTAGTAGTGGTTCCCATTACGTAGATCGCGATCGACCAGTAGATCGCGGACTGGTCCCAAGTCGATCGCGAGGGGTGTAGAGGAGAAAAAAAACAAACAACTATTGGTGTGCCTGTTAGGAATATATTTTTTGTGTTCATGTACACTGCACGCTAATCATCCTGTGTCATTTTCACAAAAAATATTTTAAAAATAAAATAAAGCAGGTAAATCTTTAACCTACGGTGGTGCGTGACCTACGTCACCGGAAGTTGTTAGCTGTCGCACCTTGCGATCGGAGCTGTTGTGCTATATCTTTTATCGTTACTTGTACAATTCACCGAGCGCACGGGCAAAGAATGGGAATCTAGAGGGCCGAGGGAAGCACTTAAAAACGGTACGTGGGAGCTACGATAGTTAACAGGCTGCAAAAGTGCGTCGCATGCCTCCGTGTCAGGCTGTTGCTCATCATGGCGTGCGTGTGTGTGTATGTAACGGGTCGATCTCGGGAGGTTGGTTGATCGAAAAGTCGATCTCCGGTCCAAAAAGTTTGGGCACCCCTGGCAGTTTGTACTGTAATGAAGTAAATAATAGAACAAGATATGAAGCGAGCTATCAGGGTGAAGTGAACCGGAAGAAAAAAAAGATATCTACGTTCCTCAATGACAAAATATTCTGTTGTTGTCCTTCCAGCGAACTCTGGGGAGAAAGAGGAACCGTAACCAGCGCGGATCATTCAAAGATGGTATGAATGAGTTCCTCTCCACGTCCCAAAAAGTGGCCAAAACACTCCAAACGATCTGATGTTTGTTGATTATGGTAGAAGGTTGGAACCGGTGCCGCGTGAAATCTTGCCGAGGCACCGGGTTGGAAATTGTGGACGTAAAAGTCTCGTCAGGTTCCAGCTCTCTTCCAAAAAAGGGATGGCTTGAACTCGCTCTGCGCACTGAATGTGACATTGTTGAGGTCTGATTATTGAATTGTAAAATCATGCAGCCTCAGCCATTCAGCCGCTCGTCACCGTGTGTGGACGAGAAGAAAACGGCTGTCCCGATCATTTATCCAAAGTCACAAACACCGTGTTTTTACATGCAGAGGTGATCTGCGGTCATTCATCTTCTCTCCATATTTGGTCCACTAAATCATACGGCCACGTTGTCGACACGCAAACTTTTCCAGACTGAAGAACCCCCGAAATGATTCATTTGTGGGTTTGCGCCCCAGCGACGCCGCGCCTCTACCAGGAGATCCGAGAGCGGGGTTTGCACTCCACCAACCAGGATGAGCTGCTGGACGACTTTGTGGTGGTGGAAGCTCCGGTCGAGGATCAGAGCATCGTGGTCAAGAGCTACAGGCCGGCGCAGCTCACCTGGAGCCAGTTGCCACAGGTAAGCCGTGCTCAGATGTGATCATGATGATGATGGTAATTGGGGAAGGGGGAGGGAACTGGGATTGCAAACGTGATTTGGACATACGTATTTGTCAGATGCCTGACAATCGCGTTGAAATAAAATTGTTCCCTTGCTTCGTGAAGGTGAAGGAAACCGGCATACTGAGCATGATCTCACCTCAAGAGAGAAAAAGGCAAGAGGTAAGTATTTATTCATCATTTATTTATATAAAATACACACACACACACACGGGCACCTCGGTGGTCGAGTGGTTAGCGCGTCGACCTCACAGTGCAGAGGTCGTGGGTTGGATTCCGGCTCCGCAGTTCCTGTGTTGAGTTTCCATGTTCTCCCCGTGCTCGCGTGGGTTTTCTCCGGGTACCCCGGTTTCCTCCCACATTCCAAAAACATGCGTGGCAGGCTGATTGAACACTCTAAATCACAGGTGTCAAAATCGAGGCATTCCAAAAACATGCGTGGCGCCACATCATTTTATGTGGCCCGCGAAAGCAAATCAAACATGTCAACTTCCATGATGCTTGCTAAAATCTCAACCAAAATTCAAAATTCTCATATGTAATAAATAAGAGGCATATTGTAAGCATTTTCTTGCGACCAAACCCCGTCATTACAGTCACTTAAACAATTGTTGAATAAACCATTATTATTTACTTTTTTTTATGTAGTTTCAGTCATAACAGCCCTCCAAGGGAAACAGTAACTAAAATGTGGCCCATGACAAAAAGGAGTTTGACAGCCCTGCTCTAAATTGTCCCTAGGTGTGACCCCATAATTCACAATTTGATCAATTTCATATTTTTTCAAAAATATTATACTATTGGTCAGTCCAAACGTGTGGGTGTTATTCTTCTTTTTTTTTTTTTATTTAATTTTTTTAATACAGATTATTGACGAGAGAGTTACCTCACAAGTAAAATGTCCATAGACATTTCAAAACATGCCGACATCCAATTTAAACTCCTGACGAAATACAAAAGTGAAAGTGTTGACAATGTGTGTAAAGTAGTCTAGCGGAGAATTCATCGCTCCCTTTTTTGTTTTTGCTTTTGTTTTGTGTCAAGAGCAAAGGTCCACCCTGTTTGCACAGGCACACCTCGCCGGGCTGTCTGCCGCGTGGGCGATTCCCACTTTTATGCCCAAAGTTACCTTGTGGGTCTCGATTGTATGGCTTCAAATTCATCTCAGTTTCCACGGCACTGCCCTTTTCGTCAGAAACTTCACATTTGCTTTCGGCTCATGTTCAGCAGCACAAAGAAATCCGTGTTACAATCTCACCCGTATGATTTGCTCCCAGTTTTGACGACTTTCATTGAAACTGCTGTTGTTGATACTTATTGTATTTTTTTAATATGTTTGACAGGCAATCTTTGAAATAATCACATCGGAGCACTCATACTTACACAGCCTGGGCATCCTGGTGCGACATTTTAAAGAGAGTGAACCTCTGAAGAAAACCATGACGGCCACAGAGCACCATCACCTCTTCTCCAACATCTCGGTTATTCATCAAGTCAGCAAACGGTGGGCACAATACATACTCATGCTGTTACACTCTTCTGTGGGCTTTGATTTCTTCCATACATTGACTGCTATATGCAGTTGCAGTTTTTGAAATGAATCAAAAATGTAAGGCTCCCCCCCCGAAGCACGGGTTAAGTTTCTTGTCGGCCCTATCAACATGTTAAAACACGCTTGGCAAACAGGTTTTGCAGCCTCGCTGCTCTACGTGGTATTTCGGGACTTTTGAAATGATAATGTGCTGCATTGCAGAACGTGTCAACAAATGCTTCAAGTCAATGGACTTTGAATGTTTTGAGCCAATAGGAGAGGAAGTGTGATGTAAGAGCAGATACAAGAACAAATAATGATTCACATTTGTATCAATATGTGTTGTGTCCCTTCTTCCCGGCTTGCATGGTGTCATTTGACCTTTTTTTTTTTTTAAATATGCTCTCTGCAAGGGTGTGGCCGAAAGTCGTGTTTATTGCGCTCATCAGGAATACACTTAAGATGGATTCAATTTCCCATTTTAACAAAATAGATGTTGACTGTCATATGTTTCTTTTAAAGAAACAGCCAAAATGCAATCCGCCAAGATGCCACAAGATTGTGGCCAAGCACTACATTGAAGGTTCTGAATATTAAAAGGCGCCAAACCGACACTTTATTTGTCAGTGCTTATGTACAAAAAATACAAATACTGTAGGTGAGTTTTTAAAAAACAATATATAATGAACAAATAATTTTGGGCAGGTCCCTTAATGTTTACGATAATAACGATAGGTATTACATTTTAGATGCACTGCCTTCCTGGTAACACATAATACAAAATGCCATAGGTGGGCTAAAATTAGCATCGATGTGGCAGCATGATCATTATTCAAACAATGGATATTTGAAAACAAATGGTGCAGCAACACCTGTGATTGACTGGCAAGCACTTCAGGGTGTGCTTCCCCCAATGACAGCTAAGAAAGCCACACCGGCGATCCTCATTTGGATAAGCGGTTCAGAGAATGTACGGATGGATGGATGGTGCGGCAACACATGTAGACAGACAATGTGGCATTAGTCCCAAGAAAATATTATTTTTCCTCTGCAAAAAAAAAAAAAAATTAATATGAGCTGTTGTGGCAGTTTAGTGTATATCTGTGCGGCTGTACCATACTGCCCCCAGTGGCCAAGGTGCACACATCACAAGAAGCCGCACAACTCATCTTCCAAAAAAAAAATTATACAAAATGTTTTGTTGACATTTTATGGGTCAGGATTACAATCATTCTAAGCCCCCTCTCTTTTTCTCCCCCCCCCCCAGCTTTTTTGAGGATCTTGAGCGGCGTCACAATGACAACCCAGTGATCCGGGATATTAGCGATATTGTTCAGAACCACGCCGCCCACCACTTTGAGCCGTACATCGTCTACTGCTCCAACGAGACCTTCCAGCAGAGGACACTGCAGAAGCTCCTGTGAGTTCACCACCAAAGTCTGCCTTCTCTCAGCAACGGCCTCACGTAAAATGACCGAAAAACGTCTTTCTTGACCATCTTTTTTAGGAGCACCAATGGTGCATTCAAGGACACCCTGAAGCAAATTGAAGGCAGCGGCGACTGCGGAGGCCTCCCGATGATCTCGTTTCTCATCCTTCCCATGCAACGGGTGACCAGGCTGCCACTGCTACTGGATGTTAGTATGACCTTTACATTGACAAAACTTTGCCAATTACAAAAGATCGTCATCGTAATCTTTTCAATCAAATCATTTTGGAGTCATTAGGCGAGCAATTCACAAATGGCATTGAAATATACAATATGTATTGTACTGTACAATACCTGAACTGATGATCATCTAGCAATCCTGTGATGTCATTGCTCACCATTGCTTTTATTTCCTTGAACGACATATAATATACATATATAAGAATGTATTTAGTTATTTAATGTGTGTGTGTATGGTGGATTTCCTCACAAAGACAATCTGCCAGAAGACCCCCGACAAGACCGCCGAGTACTTTGCGGCCGTCTGGGCCCTGCACGCCATCAGCAAGGTAGAAAGGTTCGCCGTGTGCGCCGACTCTGCATTTTTTTGCAGCCTCGCATCCTGATTGTTTTCCTCCTGGTTGCACCATTCGACAGCTGGTCAGCAGCTGCAATGACGGCGCGCGGCGAATGGAGAGGACGGAACAGATGTACACCATTCAGAAACAGATGGAGTTCGGAAAAATCAAGGTTGGTCTGGTTGTTTTGGGACTTTCAATTCCTTTCTGTCTAGGTCACATATGTCAGACTCATTCAGGCCTTATGCTTATTAATTGTCAGTCAATGTGAAAACTGCGTATCAAAATTAAACCCCTCAACTAGGCATGGACTAATGTTAAAAAAAAAGTTTATTTGAGGCAGGTAACTTCAAAGCGGCGGCTCGTTTACTGAACTCTGGAGGCAGCCAATCATATTGACATGACATGACATTGGCAGGGGAATTCAATTGTGGCCGCAAAAATGCGCACGGAATGTTTTTTAATTTGCGGCCACGAAGTAGCGTGTGAGTGTAAGCAAAGCGAGCACACCTTTGCCAGAAATGTTCCTCGTGTCGCCGCAGCCATTTCCGCTGGTGTCGTCGTCACGCTGGCTGAAGAAACGTGGCGAGCTGGCCGTCGGTGCTGAAGAGCTCAGCATCTGGAGAGCGTTCAGCAACAGGAGCAACTACCTGTTTCTCTTCAATGACGTCCTCATTGTCACCAAGAAGAAAAGGTCAGTCACTATTTTCACTCCGTTGCAACTCGGAACGATACGAGCAAAAACAACGTCACTTGGACGCATTGCAAGTGGGCTTCTTGTGTAACCGATTTATCCATCCATCCATCCATTTTCTGATCCGCTTTATCCTCACAAGGGTCGCGGGGGGTGCTGTAGCCTATCCCAGCTGTCTTCGGGCGGTAGCCGGGGGACACCCTGAACCGGTTGCCAGCCAATCGGAGGGCACACAGAGACAAACAACCATCTGCGCTTTAGAGTGTTCAATCAGCCTGCCATGCATGTTTTTGGAATGTGGAAACCGGAGTACCCGGAGAAAATCCACGTAGGCACTGGGAGGCCGGAGCCGGGATCAAACCCACAACCTCTACACTGTGAGGTCAACACGCTAACCACTCGCCCACAAGGCCACCCCCCCCCTCCCCTCCATTTATTTAGCTAGCTAGTTAGTTAGTGGCTGTTCGTGATCTCAATCGGAATGCTGACTCTTCTTACTAATACTAAGGGTTTTGTGTATATTTTGTAAAGGGGAGAAGAAAAAAAAAGTCGATACAGTGAATGACCAACGCAGGATAATCTGGATTGTTTCAGTAATTTCCTGGAGAATGCGAGACTGTTGCCAGTCAGGCAACAACTGAGGAGGCTGAGGAACATACTTGACATTCTTCAACTTTGCATTCAGCCGGTCAGCCTGAGAGAAATGTCAGCTTTGTGTTTTGACGTGGGGAGAAACCAAACAATGTCTGCTCAGACACAAGAGAGCCTTATTTTTTTCCTCAATGGTTGTGGCCCAGTACATGCTCTGCGTGGCTAATGCTACGGGAAGACAGCGAAGGAGTGTTTAACGAAGCCTACTAAGAACTAAGATGAACTGTATTTGCAAGCGTGTGCGTTTGTTCCTTCAGCGAGGAGAGCTTTGTGGTGATGGACTACGCCACCCTAGATCATGTGGAGGTGGAGGTCAGCGAGGAATATGATGGTCAGGCGTCGCCGCCCGCGAAGAACAGCTCCAGTCAAAATCTGTCCTTCAAACTGCTCATGAGCAAGAACAGCGAGGGCCGGCCAGAGCGCACCACCCTAGTGGCCGAATCCAGGTACCCTCTTCCAGTCTTGTCAAAAACAAAATGGTTGAGTTCTTGCAACAAAGAAACTTTGACCATTTTTTATTTTTTGTAAACTGACTGAACTCAATCGACACATATCCGGTTTTAAATGATCGAACTACATTTCATGGTGACGTAAAATACGCAGTTTTACAATGATGATGTTGAGTTTTGCTTGACGCTGGCAAAATTTGTCTTAATTGTATCCATTCATTGGTATATATTGTGGTTGTGGTTTTGAAGCAGCGTACAACATCATGCTAATAGCTAATGGCTAATGGTTAGGACTCTCTGGTGTTGCCGATGAACTCTCCAAATTTTTAAATGAATAACTCTTGGTGACGCATGTGGCCCCAAAGAGTGTCTGTTTCATGAAGGTTGATTGGAGTTTTGGGTTTGGCTCCCCCTGCTGTGGACAATGATGTCGCGCGTCAAGTACTAATACAGCACCAGAGCACTGCCCATTCTACTCTTTAAATACGGGTCATAAAAGGCTTTTTTTTTTTTTGTCCCCAGTTCGGTGGTACAGTCTGGGTTCATCTTACACCTCCGCATTGGAGTTTTCTTCTTTTCAGTGCTGGTTCATTTTCCACCGCTGCGTTTGAGTTTTCTTCTTTTCATCGTCCCTTTTTTGTTTTGTTTGTTTTTGTCTGCATCTTTACCAAGGGTGGACTGCGCCCGTTGGATCGTCGCGCTCACCGAACACAAGCAGACAGAGCTTTTCTCCCGCAAAGAAGGTAAAGCGTGACAAAATTCACAGCGACTTATTTCCGCACCATCACCGTAGGTTTTATGTGCTCTGAGTTGGGTGTCTGCCGATGGAGCCGTTTGTTCTGATAACACTTAGTTTGCGCCTCGGATCAAATGTGTGCTTGTGTAACATTGTTTTAATTGTGTACGTTTGGGAGGCAAGTTTTAAGCCCAGTATCTTAATTCAAACTGCTTTACAGACTGCCTTGCTTGGGAAGGGCTAAAAGCCGAAACACAAACAGTTGAGCTTGAAAGTTAAATACAACTGAACTGCACTTGGAGTGTCCACACCATTCTTTTCAGATACCGCCAGAGGGCGCCACCGCACTGTGAATCACTGCACGAATCCTTTCACCCCATATCCGCTGGAATAGGTCAGGCCTAACATAAAAACAGTCAGTGCATGCTGGGAATGTGTTTTAGGTCTGCCTCAGTACGAGGCCGCCAAAGCCTACATACCCAAGGAGCCCGATGAGGTGGGCCTGCAGCAGGCTGAGCTTGTCATTGTCCAGAGGAAGGAGGAGGGTGAGGTTCCATTTTTCTTTTTCGGGGGCAAGGGGGTCGCGACCTTGCGAGGCATCCCTTCTCCTAAAAACTGCGTGCTCCCGCCAGGCTGGTGCTATGGGGAGCGGATGCGAGACGGCGAGAGAGGCTGGTTTCCCGCCAGCTGCGCTGCGGAGATCACCAACCCCACGGCCATAGAGGACAACATGCAGCGAATGAAGCGCCTCCGCCAAGAGTCCAACGTTTGAGGAGAGACTCGGTGCAGAGAACAGTGAGGTTAAGATCCCTCGAGGCCGCCATTAACCTCATCCAATTGTGCCTTGCTAAGGCTGAAGAATTTACATTTAAGGGGAAAAGAGGTACAGCCCAAGCCGATTATTATATTCATGAAGATGTGCAGTGCATTTATTGCGCTTTACTTTTGGATCCTTTTTTTTGAAACCATATTCCACCATATTTTTTTTCCTGCTCAAACTTCATGAATCAACCTGTGATTAGCTAAAAAGAATAAATAAAATTATTCAAATCAAAAGAAAACCCTTCACATTCTCAGTCACATTTCAACAAATCATCCGAGTTATTACAGCGCGTTTTTCCATTTTGGAATAAGGATGTATCACGGTGCCTTGAGAGATCACTAAAAGTTGAATGACCATGAACAAGCTCAACTCGCATCAATCCTATAATTTTAGCCAATTTAAATGAATTGAACTATCATATAATCACCCCCCCCCACCCCCAAAAAAATAGTATTTTGTATGCAGCTTTTTATAAGTCAAATAGTGTAATAGCATCATGAAACAGAATGTAAAGTATTGAGTTTTTGTCATGACTTAGTGCTTCAATTCATTGTGCTGCTCCTCTTGGTGTGCACACCGTGGCCACTGGGGGCAGTATTATAGCCATACAATCAAAGTGGTCACCACTATTCAGAATCGATGCCTGTATTGTGCTAGCTATTTTTTTTACATGTTGCTACACCGTTTGTGATTAAATATATATTGCTTGAAGGATTACATTACCATGATTGTTGTTGATGCTTATAGTTACCACAGTAATGGCATTTTCAATTCAGTCAATGGGGGGTTTCTTAAAGCAAGTTCTTTACTTGCTTTAAATTCTCTTAGTTTGATGTTTGGCTTGACACCAAACCTCAACTGAGTGGCATTTAATAGGTTTTAGGATTTTTTTTTTTTTTGGTTGTTCATTCTGACACACTGCTGTGTATCAAGTCAGTTGAGTTCCCCGTCACCATGTAGTTCTCAAGTTTGCATCGGGGGGACTAATCAGCCAGATGACTGACTGCATGTATCTTGAGAAGGCACCACTGTACAACAAAAGAGACTTTCCAGATGTGCTGTACGGAGGGTTAACCAGGACCCACAACTTATGTTTCCATAAAACCAGTCCTTTCTGGGTCATTACTGATTTCCAATTAAAGGTATTTTTACATCCAGTAGGAAACATTATCTTTTCTAATACCAATTCAGGCGATGATCTATTTAAAAGCCCACTGTTATTTTGTGGCGGTGAGAGAAGTTGTGAATATTTAAGTGCATTTCCTACGCTGCGCATAATCGCTTCACATCGAGAGGAACTTGTTTCTTACATGTGCAAATGATGTCGGATCCAGCTCAAGGCTGGCCAAAGTATGTCCTTGGCACCACAGCCGACAAACTCTGTTCTTTATCCAGCCCACAGAGGATTCACGTAAAATCAGCAGTCCTGTCATATTTGTTGCATTCATTTCGCTGCCCCCCCCCCGCCCTAAAATTTATTAAAATGTACCCATTTCATCAAATTGGTGGAGTGAAATAAAAATGTATATACTGTACATTATTCTAGTTACATCAAATTTTAAAATGAGTTTAATAAAAATGATTTGCTTTTTTTCCCCCATTGTTAAAATGTATTTTTTAATGATATAATATATATAACTATATAATTCATCCTCTTCTATGAATTACATACTAAATGTAGCCCTTCGGGACAAACATTAGCCTACTCTGCTCAAGTTGAATACTGGTTAATGCATTGTTCTGAAATGGGTGTCATCATATTCTCTTCTTGCTACTAAAAATGGCAAAGATCAGCCTTCGGTGATCAGGCTCGTGTCATTTTGTGAAATCTCTTAACTCACGGTTGCCGACATCCACTAAATAAAACAATCACTCCATTGTCCCTGGTTTTTGGACTTTTATTTGAGCTTGCATTTCGTTAAAATGTTTGAATAGATAAAAAGTTATTTAAAAATGTCAAACTGACCAGATATCAAATTTCACTCATTCATTTTTTTTTTTTGAAAAACCATTTGGTGTAAAAACTTAGGAGAGATTTAGAAAAACGTGCCGTTTCCCCAAAAATGTGTTGTAGCTGTCACGTAAAAAGAAGGGAGGGAAAAAAAAAACAAGTCTGCATAGAACCTGCAGGCAATTGGTGGTAATCTGTTCAAATGCATGGTGCAAGCTTGTGACGGTCATCAAGTCAAATCTTTATTGCTCTGATCTTGTTGGATGTTTCTTGTTGACAAAAAAAAAAAACTGCAAGTAGGGGGGGAGGGGGGAAAGAGGGGAAAAGTTGCAATTTCGTTCACTGCTCATCAGCATGACGCCAACCACTTGCAAGTTTCGAGACGCTCACCCGGACGATGGTAAAAGATGGTCGTGCCGGTGGGCAGGTTGTCCCCTACTCAGCCCCGCCCTGCTGGGCCTCGGGAGCGGGCGTCTTCTCTCCGGAGGCGTCGCCTCCCGCCTTGGCCTCCTTGTTGTCCTGGCCGGGTTTGCCGCCAGTCGGTGGGCGCGGCCGGCGGCGGTAATTGACGTTGCGGCGGTAGCGCCGCTGGCGGGGCTGCTGGTTGGGACCCCCTTCGCCGCCCTGATTCTCCTTGTCCTCCTCGCCGTCCCGCACGGGTCTGGGACGTGGCGGACCCCTGCCGTACACGGAGTTGGAGGGGAGAAAAGGTTGGTGGGCCAGAGTGCAAAATGCAAGACTTGGGACGCACGGCAAGAAAATGCAGCGTATCACAAATGGTGATACCTCAACAGGTTATCATTTCAGACGTGTTACAGCATCACCCTAAAAGACTTACAAATGATGTAAGGACGTGTGGCAAAGACTTTCCGCAACTTCCGCCAACAAACCAGGCTAAAACTTAGCACCCCCTATTTGGGCCTCATCATTACACTTTAAACCACCTTTTCTTAACCCTTGTGGAAAAGCGTCCTCAGTCAACGTGTCCTTTCGAAGAAGAGTATAGCACCATTTAATGGATTTCAATTTCAGGAGGGATGTCATCACGCAATGACAAGTATTGCTGACGCAAGTCTGAAACTGCCGAGCTTGTCGATGTAGTTCACTGGTGGTTGTTGCTTTCAACGTTGCTGCCACAAAGTTACAAATGTCAAAATGGTCGGTATAGATTCACCTGTTGCAAAAGTGGCCTGGAGGTTGTTTCGAAGCACCATTCCTATCACCATTTTTAGAATTCAAGCATTCCCAAGTACTTCCGCGTCATCTCGCACGGTAAGAATAAGAAGCACAGTTGGAACAACGAAGTGGAAATGAGGACACTGGTGACGGAAACAAGCATAAATGGTTGTTCCAGAGCAAGAGAATGCAAGTCTGGAAATAGAATCAGATGATCTGGACAAGGATAATGGCATGACGCAGTTGATTCAGGAACTCAAAGGACCAGGCCTACGAAGCGTATTCCGAGTTTGACCGGATAAAAAGAAAAGATGCTTTTCCGCGTCGGGAAAACACTTCAAACTTTGAACAAAAATACAATCCGATTGGCGAGTTTAATGTGATTCTGCCTGATGCAGTTTTGGGCATTTAAGCTGCTGGATACTCGCAGACTTGACATCAAAGCCAAGCAATTGGCTTTAACTGCCCGCGGAACGCATACCGTTGCGGACATGAAACCCGCGCTCAAACTATCAAGTAGACATGCTCGAGGACCAGTTGCGGGCAACAATCTGCTTGATAACTGCGGAAGACGCGCAAAGTGCGTGAGCAATAAAGATTTGATTTCAGATCAAGTGAAATTGGAACATTTCCCCTAGCGCACCTACGGATCTCTCATGGCACTTTTTTGGAGTCTGGAATCACTTGCTCTACTAGTTTGGTAAATAAACGCCACAGGCCACTATGTGAGGAAACACACTAACTGTTTGTAAGATGCGGCATCATGAGGGCAGAACCCTGCTCCAAGAACCAAAACAAAAGTGTTTTCGCTTTTTTTTTTTTTTTTTTGGGGCAGCATGGGATGAGCAACGCTCAAATGTGTACCTTGGCCGGAAGCCTCTGAAGTAGTTCTGCCTGGCGGGTTTGTTTCCCTGGTCTGGACCCCCTTGGTTCTCATCGCCCTCATTGGCCTGAAAACAAACACGAGAAAAGAGTTATCGAGTGCAGAATGACAATTAAGAAGGTGTCGGGTGTGGTCAAAGCATAACGTCCAGCGCGAGGGTTTAAAGCTGAGGCCGTGACATGGAGTGCTGTACCGTTGACGCCCAGACCCGCTCTACACCAATATTTATTTTTATTCACAAACACAAGCGGGTGCGTCCGCATATTTTTTCCTTTAAAGGCCCGGATTGGGTCACGAGAAAGCGGAGTGCCCGCTTCAGGTTCGAAGCCGAAGTGTGTAACGTACAAAGTATGGCGGGTAGCGCCGTCTGCCGGGGTAGGCGGGCCTACGCGGCTGTTGCTGCGAGTCTCCCTCGGGGGCGCTCTCTCCGCCTTCCCGGCTGCCTTTGCCTTCGCGGCCTCCGGCGCCCGGCTCGCCCTCTCCGTCACTCTGGTAGTTCTCTGGATAGTCGCCGCCGCGGGGGGGACCCCTCCTTCGGGGATAGCGTCTGAAGCGGCTCCTGTCGGCGGCGTACTTGCTTCCCTGGACTGCGATGCCCCCTGGGCCGGTGACATTCGCCGCCTCTGCCCCCTGGTGCCCGCGGAACGACGCCATGAGAAAACGGGCGCGAGTTTCAGCGGCGAGGCCGGCGACGCGCTTACTTTCTCTCCCTCGACTACGTCAAACTCCACAGTTTCTCCATCGCCAACACTGCGAAGGTATTTTCTCGGGTTGTTCTTCTTGATGGCTGTCTGAAATGACAAATGAAGAGTAGAATTAAGAGCCGCATATGCTGCGATGCCTTGACTAATGAGTCAGGCTGACATTTTTGAAAAAGAATACCATTGCAATTTTTACCCCTCATTATTGCGCTTTCATAAGAGATTTTTTTTTTCAATGTCCTGTACAGTCACATTGCATTTCTCTATTTTGCTAGTTAAGGATGGAAACAAAATTAAAGAACACATTTTCTGTATACCAACACAAGTGAGGAGGAGCCGTTCTGAAAATGGATGTTTTGGAGTACAATAAGTTCCAAGGGAAGTAAAAATTATGTTTTGTTGAATTTCATATGGCTACATTCTCATTTTCACATTGCAATGAATACATTAAAACAACAAATTCTGATTAGAAACTCGTGATTATGTTGTGTAACTGAACGCTTTTCAGACTTCAAAATACACTGCGGAAACGGGGTCCCGAGGTAATGTTCTTGATCAAAGGTTACAAATATGGAAATTTTGACAAATTGTTCTGGAAGTGAATTTCGATAAGTGGGCAACTCTGTAAACAACATCATATATATATATATATATA